GTCCCACTCCAGTGTTGCTAATAGTGGAAGGGGGTGTGTCCCAGCTAGTTTTCTACAACATGGGAAAGAAAGAGTTCATTTGGCTCACATGTCCCAATCATAGTCCATCATTAAGGGAAGCCAGGGCAGAACTCAAGGCAAGAATCTGGAGGCAGGAACTGAAGCATAGACCATGGAGGAGTGCTGCTCAGTGGCTTATTCCTCGTGGTTTGCTCAGCTTGCTCTCTTATACAACTCAAGCCTACCAGCCTAGTGGTGGCACTACCCATAAAGGGGCTGGGAATTTCAACACCGTGGATCAAGAAAATGACCCCATACACACACTCACTGGCCAATCTGTTGGGGAAAACTCCTCATCTGAGGTTCCCTCTTCCCAGATGACTTCAACTTGTATCAAGTTGACTAAAGTAACCCAGCACAGCCTATGAGAAGGTCTTACACAAAGCCATACAGAACAGGGACATCATGCTCAGCAGGAGCCACGGAGAACTACTCTGTGGGTTGGCAACATACTCGCACTCCCATTGGTCATCACTGCCCTGTAGGCATTGCCACCATCGTATCCATGTCCCCACAATACTGGGTCCAGGAATCCTCTGTGACAAATGTGATACTGTGGTCACTGTAGATTTGGAAGCAGATAAAGCCATCCAAGACCAGAAGCAGCAGCACTTTCAACTTCTGCCTCAGATGCAGCTCCTTCATGTGTGCCAGGAACCCACAACAACAAACTCAGTCCAGGCTCACTCTGGTCACGCCATGCCTGCCCCCAGAGAGAGGATATGAATGCAACTCCCCCTTTGGACTATCCTTTACCCCTATGGAAGTCAGTGAGCTTATCAAATTTAGCTTCAGCTGTTAACTTCACACAAATAGAGTCATTTGGGGGAAAGGAATCTCAGTTAAAGAATTGCCAGGATCAAACTGGCCTGTGGCCATGTCTTTGGCATCTTCTTAATTGGTAATTGATATGGGAATGATCATCCCTAGGCAGATGAGCCTGGGTTATGCATGAAAGACAGCTGAGCAAGCTAGTGGGCAAGTCAGTAAGCAATGTCTCAGTTTCAGTTCCTGACTCCAGGTTCCCACTTTGAGGTCCTGCCTTGCATTCCCTGATGATGGACTATAACTTATAAGCCTAGTAAATTCTTTTGATCAGTCTTTTATCATAGCAACAGACACACAAACTAGAGCAGAGTCCCACAGTCATGGACATCAGCGACTCTTCTGAGCCAATAAAGGTAAAATCCTTCAGGTTGAGCTTACTTGATTTTAAATAAATCAAAGTATAAATCCATATGTATTCTGGATCCTCTGTTCCTTCAAGGGAGAGACATGAGGTTACCAACACCAGGCTATTTTAGAGCTCATGACTATATGGCCAGCATCCTTGTAACCATCAGGGTGTCTAGCAGCTAGAGAAACAAGAGAACAGGGCACTGTTCCTACCCTAGCATCAATCCTCACCCAGTGTGGTGGTTTGAAAGAAAATGGTCCCCAAGGGGAGTGACACTATTAGGAGATGTGGTCTTGTTGAAGGATACGCGTGTCACTGTGGAAGCAGGCTTTGAGGTCTCGTATGTGCTCAAGCCACATCCAGTGAGACAGACCACTTCCTGTTGCCTTTGGATCAAGTTGTAGAATTCTCCAGCACCATTTCTGCCTACATGCCACCATACTCCCCACCCCCATGCTCTCACCATGATGATAATTGACTAAACCTCTGAACCTGCAAGCCACCACCTTAATGAAATGTCTTCCTTTGTAAGAGTCGCCATGGTCATGGTGTCTCTTCACAGCAATAGAGACCCTAACTTAGACACCTGGTCAGAGGACAGCCCACTTTGCCGTTGATTGCTTAGAGAAGGGTACCATGGCAACATGGCACTGATTTGGAAGCATAAGTGAGATAAATGGGCTAGAGAGGGAGACTGCAAAGAGTCGTAAACCATTGTAGATATATATTGAAGAATAATAGATAGATAACAAAAAATGAGATGAGAAAAACTCATTAGAGAAAAACACAAGAACAAAGATTTGATTCTGTTTGAGAAGCCATAGACAACTATTACTTATAAGACATAGGATCTCCCTCCCTCTCTCTCTCCCTCTGTCTCTGTATGTGTGTTTCTCTCTCTCTCTCTCTCTCTCTCTCTCTCTCTCTCTCTCACTCTGTGTGTGTGTGCGTGTATCTGTCTGTCTGTCTCTGTGTGTGTGTGTGTGTGTGTGTGTGTGTGTGTGTGTGTGTGTATCAAAGAACAACTGTAGGTGTCATTTCTCAGTTGTCTTCCATCTTTTGTTTAAGACAAGGTCTTTACTGGCCTGGAACTCCACCAAGTAGGCATGGCTAGCCAATCAGCAAGCTCTAGGGATCTGCTTATCTCTACTTCTCACCTCCTAATCACTAGCACTACAAGTGTGGGTCACTAGTCCCACCTTTTTCATGGGTTATGGGGATCGAACTCAGGTACTCATGCATTAAGCACTTTCCCAACTGACCCATCTCCCCAGGCACCAGAGCTACAGTTTCTGTTAGTAGACCAAAGGTCAGATCCAAGGAGGCAGCTTTCCTACAATCCCACAGACCTAGAGTCCTGCCTTCTCGTAAGGCTGAGGCAAAAGGCCATTAACCCCAGGACAAAATCAAATCTTTGTTCTTGTGCTTTTCTCTAGTGAATTCTTTTGTGGTCTGGCTAACTTCTCTTATTCTTCATCAGTATGCTGACAGTCTACCTCAAAAGAAAAAGAATAGGAGATGGAGCTGAGCACAGTGGTGTAGTGTCTACTGAACAGGTACAGGGGCTCAGGGTTTGAACCTCAGCACCAAATGCTGTTTCCATCAGAAGACAGTATTTCTTATATCATCCGCTTAATCCTATTGATAACTAAAGCTGAGCATTTTAAAACAAGAGGCAGCACCAGGTGGTGGTGGCACACACCTTTAATTCCAGCACTTGGAAAGCAGAGGCAAGCGGATCTCTGTGAGTTTGAGGCCAGCCTGGTCTACAGATAGAGTTCCAGAACAGGCTCCAAAGCTACACAAAGAAATCCTGTCTCAAAAAAACAAAACAAAACAAAAACTTGGGGGATGAGGGGTGGGGAACAAGGGGTATCATCTTCAATTCTAAAAAAAGAAAACAAAACCTAAAACCTAAAGAATGATTTCTCGTTGTAAGCCAGGGTATGCTAGCTCCCTAAGGCATAGGTCTTGAGGACCTTGGAAGTTTTACTTCCGTGGGATATTCCCTTGGCCCTTCCTGTATTCGTTCAGGCCTCACATCGACACATATTTGCTTGAGTCCTATACTGTCCCTCATCACAGTTGGTTAACTCTGTGTGAGTGTGCATGAGTGTGTGAATTGATTTCTCTCTCTCTCT